CGAAGGTTCGCAGTCCCCATGGATATCAACGGCCTGTACTGACCATGCTCCAGACATCCTCACATTCATCATCTTGTACAACAATTTGATCCCAATCTCGCTGATCGTCACGATGGAAGTCGTCAAGTTCCAACAGGCTCAACTCATCAATTCAGACCTGGATATGTACTACGCGAAGACGGACACTCCAGCGCTGTGCCGGACGTCTTCGCTTGTTGAGGAGCTTGGACAGATTGAATACGTGTTCAGCGACAAGACGGGCACGCTCACGCGTAACGAGATGGAGTTTCGGTTCTGCAGCATTGGCGGTGTCGCGTACGCAGACGTCGTCGACGAAAGCCATCGCGGTGATGGGGACAACGACAAGGAGGCGTGGCGCTCATTCGACGACCTGCGTGCGCTCGTGAGCGGCGCTCAGAATCCTTTCGTCGACGCGCCTGGGGATGTCGCAGCTGGCAGTGAGCGAGAAGTGGCTGACGAATTTCTGACGCTACTTGCGGTGTGCCACACTGTCATTCCGGAGTCGCGAGATGGGAAAATGCACTACCAGGCCAGCAGTCCGGACGAAGCCGCCCTCGTCGCTGGTGCTGAATTACTAGGCTACCAGTTCCACGTGAGTAGACGTATCATCGTCGGATATTCGATTCTCATTGAGCGTTGCAACTGTAGACCCGAAAGCCCAAGTCGGTCTTTGTTAATGTACACGGCAGTTCTTTGGAGTACGAGATCCTGAACGTCTGCGAGTTCAACTCGACACGCAAGCGCATGTCGACTGTCGTGCGCTGTCCGGACGGGAAGATCAAGCTCTTCTGCAAGGGCGCCGATACCGTCATCCTCGAGCGGCTCACTGAGAACCAGCCGTTCACGGAGAAGACGCTCTTGCATCTGGAGGTGTGCACGCACCTCTCTTTTGGGGTAATTGATTTCCCCTCACGCTTCACTTCCACCCAGGATTGCGCCACCGATGGTTTACGCACGCTTTGCATCGCTTCTCGTGACATCCCCGAAGCAGAGTATCGCCAATGGTCAGCTATCTACGACCAGGCAGCGGCGACGATCAATGGGCGAGGTGAGGCGCTTGACAAGGCTGCAGAGCTCATCGAAAGGGACATGTTCCTCCTCGGAGCGACCGCCATTGAGGACAAGCTACAGGAAGGGGTTCCCGACACCATTCACACCCTCCAAATGGCCGGCATAAAGGTACGACATACGATAGCTTCATCCACGGGAGAGACCGTTCATGATACCCGTCAATGTAGGTCTGGGTGCTCACTGGCGACAGGCAGGAAACTGCAATCAACATCGGCATGTCCTGCAGGCTTATCTCCGAATCTATGAACTTGGTATGTCTGCTGAAATCTATCACGAGCGCTGTGTTGAGACCCTCTTCTAGGTCATCGTGAACGAAGAGACGGCGCATGAGACTGAGGAGTTTCTCACCAAGCGCCTGAATGCTATCAAGAGCCAGCGCAATTCTGGAGACCAAGAGGATCTCGCTCTTATCATCGGTATGTCCTGAGCGCATTATGAGTTTTGGCTCTAACCTCGTCGTATCAGATGGCAAGAGTCTTACCTTCGCGTTGGAGAAGGAGCTTTCGAAGACCTTCCTTGAGCTGGCTATCCTCTGCAAGGCCGTTATTTGCTGTGGGTATCAAGGCGTCACTTGATGTATCTGTCTCTCATGAAGCGGTTCCATAGGCCGTGTGTCGCCGTTGCAGAAAGCGCTTGTAGTCAAGCTGGTAAAGAAAAACCAGAAGTCTATTCTGCTGGCCATCGGGGACGGCGCGAATGATGTCAGCATGATTCAAGCCGCCCACGTCGGTGTAGGCATATCTGGCGTCGAGGTGTGAAGCACTCCTTCAGTATTGTAGGACTCCTTACTAAAGGCTTCCCCAGGGTCTCCAAGCGGCTCGGGCAGCTGACGTTGCAATCTCGCAATTCCGGTATCTCAAGAAGTTGCTGCTCGTTCACGGCGCGTGGAGTTATACACGTTTGTCTAAGATGCTGCTGTGTGAGTGGCATGCGCATTATGGAGGGCTGCAAGGTTGTAACGTTGCAATTCTGCTCAGATTCCTTCTACAAGAACATTGTGCTGTATATGACGCAATTCTGGGTACGTGTGCTCTCTATGATAGTATCCACGCTCTGGTTGACCCTTCGCGTAGTACTCGTTCTTCAACAACTTCTCAGGACAGATCGCGTACGAGTCCTGGACGCTGTCGCTCTACAATGTTGTCTTCACCGTGCTGCCTCCTCTCGTCATCGGTATCTTCGACCAGTTCGTGTCAGCACGCATACTCGATCGATATCCCCAGCTGTATATGCTCGGCCAGCGGAATGCGTTCTTCACAAGGACGCAGTTCTGGGCTTGGGTCGCAAACGCCCTCTACCATAGTCTTGTGAGTATTGTCGTTGTCTATCCAATATAGTAGCTACTGACTGGCTCGTCCTCAATCCGTACAGATCTTGTTTGGCTTCTCGGTTATCCTGTTCTGGGGAGATCTCAAGCAGGCAACCGGATTTGACTCCGGACATTGGTTCTGGGGCACTACGCTATATCTCGCTGTCCTGCTCACGGTTTTGGGAAAGGCTGCATTGATATCCGAGTACGTCCAAATATGGTCTATGAGAATATGTTCTCTGACTTGTTCTCCAGCCTCTGGACGAAGTACACTGTAGCAGGTATGTTTGTCCCCCGCACTATTGTCGCTTTGATGCTCAGGAATAATCTCTAGCGATACCTGGTTCTTTCGTGTTCACCATGCTCTTCCTTCCAGTCTATGCGGTTGTCGCACCAGCCATAGGCTTCTCGACCGAATATCGAGGCATAGTTCCTCGATTGTGGACCGACGCGGTCTTCTACTTTGTCCTACTGCTAGTGCCTGTTGTCTGCCTGACGCGCGACTTTGTGTGGAAATAGTAAGTCCCGACGGCTAATGGCCCACCCAATATCTCATAAGCATTGTCTTTTCAGCTACCGGAGAACATATATGCCTGAGACGTATCATATCGCTCAGGAGATCCAGAAGTACAATATACCGGACTATCGCCCGAGGCAAGAGCAGTACGTCATCCCGTTCTTTTGAATGCGCGTTGGTGCGTGACCTAGTCCATGTTGTAGATTCCAAAAAGCTATCAAGAAGGTCCGTGCAGTGCAGCGCATGCGTCGCAATCGTGGCTTCGCGTTCAGCCAAACCGAGAACGCTTCTCGACAAGACCAGGCTCGCTTGATACGAGCCTACGACACCTCAAAAGCGGGTGCACGGCCATCCGGCTACTGATTGGTGCCTTTCATAATGGGTATATACTTGCTAGTCTATCATTATACGGACTTGTAAACCTATGGTAGCTTCTGAATTCCGGAGTAATTGCTTGTAGAACGGGTGCAGCCGTGTTGGGCATGCTGTGCGTGCGCTCCTGTCTGATGTGGCTGGGCGTTGCTATCGACATGTATTTGGTGGTAAGCAATCCTCGCTCTGACAATTTGTTGGCCGCTCTTAAGTCGCTTTCGGTGCCGCTGTGGTGGATAGTGCGCTTGTGTATCAACTCCAATCCGGACGTCGCCACAGTACAGCTGAACCGGCCTGCTTCTGGTCAACACCAGTGCTGTCGGTGCCTTCTGGAGGCGGCTCTCAATTATCATTTCCTGCAAGATTATCACACACGCGGGTCAAGGGTACATATATTCCAATGTCCTATGTTACCAGCCTTCCCGCTGACTCGTCTCGTAGCGGATGTCAGTAGGTCCTTGAGGAGAACGGAAACACATCCGCGGGCCCCCGTTTGAGTATTGCATCATCGGAGCTCTCAACGCCTCTGACGGTGGCAAGACAGCCATGGTCATTGGACGTCGTTGACGGCTGTGACGCCGCGCATACGGTTTCTCTAGCGGCACATGAGTCTCCGTGTACGCTCACCCTATACGCTTCAGTGGTCGCTCCTTGAGACCCTGTTCTCGTTGCCTCAGCAACGCTCTTCACCTTTGCCATCGTCTCTCCGCAACTCCGCCCGACTCTGAAGAGCGTGTACCAAGGCCAGGTGTTGGGGCACTTGGTGGGATGTCTTGCCTACGTAAGCTCTGTATGTCGTTTCTTCTTGACGGAGGCTTCGCCGCTGGTTATCGTCCTGAACTGTGGCCATCTCAAGGGAATGGTCACTGCAAACTCCCTCTGTCACGCCCTTCTGCTCAGCGACATGCCGGAGCTGGACCATGATTGAAGCGCGCCTCATTTGCCCTGACCCGACATCGTGAGTCCACTCGCTGGCATTTGTGTTGTTCAAGTTCATTCTCGGCCCTCATATCCTTCGGAGCCTCGTTGCCGGTGAGGGTGGTCATGTGGGATTGCTACAAATTTGTCTACACGGGATCATACGCCCATGTTCGCCACCCGTTCTTACACGGGTCTCATTGCCATGGTCTTTGGAGCACACATCATCACCGCAGGAGGCTATGTATCGGAATGTGGGTTTGAGGGTGACCTTCTCCCCGGTGTCTTGGCGTAGAGCTAGAGGCTTGGCTCACTCTTTGGATTCGTCTGTGGGACAGGCGTTGTGATGTTGAGGCTACGAAATTAGAGGAACAGTTTTGGGAGGAGTGGAGGAGATACAAAGGCGCGGTTGCACACTGCAACGCTTATCTGACACCTGGCTTGCATACCACACTTGGATTCGTATTCTTACAGTGCTCGCTACGATACACACTCGTTCTCTTCCTCAAATCAACGCCAGCAGCGGCGTCCTCATCACCCCCCGTCTTGGTCATCTAATGCACCTCTTTCGTCACGCCTTCGGGCGTCGGCCCATACACAGTGGTACCCTCCCAGCCTAGTGTCCTGCCAACAAGTCTCATGTGTTGTCCAGAGATTCACGAGCTGTACTGCGTACAGCTTTACTGACGTTCCTGATTTATCTGGTACCATCAGATCTCCTGGAATACGAGCCCAATAGAGGGAGCCATGCAAGAAAGATAGTGAAGGTAAATAAAATGCACTCTCGACGGAGGTCCTGTAGTGTAGTGGTTTATCACTTGGGATTTTGATCGCGTTCGCCATTGCAATTGGACGTCGGTGAGCCATGGATCTTCCCAAAACCCAGGTTCGAACCCTGGCAGGACCTGCTACTTTTTGCTCGTCTCTATCGACCATGGCGCCTTCTTCAAATGCGCTTTCATTCTGACCACCGCCAGAGCAGGCAACTCTGATCCCCGTAGGGCTTTCAACTTGGCGGGCCACGACTATCTCGCATAGTTTGAACGACTCGTTCCACCCTTGATTCACTGCGGCATGACGTGTTACAGATCTACGCTCTCAGTCAAGCGAACACACAATCCCTCCCTTCGTCATATTCCAGCCCAATTGGTCGTAGGTCCATCCCATGACTGTCCCGTCGGTACTGTACTGATGGTACCGCAGCAGAGAGCGGTGCATGCCAGGCTTGAGATGAATTTCATTAAGCGTGGCCATCTCCTCGTCAGTCAGATCAAGCAACTGAAGAATTACAAGCACATCAGACGTTGGGCTCCTGCAAGAGTCAAAGTAAGAAGCAGTCACGTACGGTAATATTCTGCTTGATTCGCTCCGGGTTCTGACTTTTGGGTATAACTGCCGTGCCACGTTTGACACCCCAGCTGAGAGCCACTTGCGCCGGAGTGGCGCCATGGCTCTGTGCGATGCTCACGACGTCTGGGTCCTCAAGGAAGACCGGCTTGCCATCGAACTCTCCAGGTCGCCCTGGCGATGTTGTGATCAGCGACGAGCATACTATCAGACTGCTGATGCGACCAACCAAGAGGAGAGTACGCCGTGATGAGGATACCTCTTTGTTCGCACCATAATCTGAGGTCGACGGACGGAAGACAAGGATGGCATTCGACTTGGTTCGTTGCAGGGACAACATCGCTCTCGCGAAGGAGGACCTCCAGCAGCTTGACGGAGAAGTTAGAGACGCCAATGGAACGGACCTTCCCAGTGTCGAGGAGGGCTTCCATGTCCTTCCAAGTCTCGACGAAGGTTGGGCTCTGGCCATACGGGACTGGCTTGTTGTCTTCTGTGTAGGCCTGGGGCCAATGCATGAGGTACAAATCGACGTAGTCAACGCCGAGCTTGCTGAGTGACTCCTCAAACGACTCCTTCACCTTGTGGTGATGGTGGCTAGGCAGCTTTGTGGTAAGGAAGATCTCTTCGCGAGGCACTCCCGAATCGCGGATAGCCTTGCCTACGTATTCCTCGTTTCCATACCCGTAGGCCTGTCACAGGCTGGCATCAATCAAAGTCAAAAGCTGGCTGGTCGCGTTTACTCACCGTATCGATGTGTCTGTATCCCACCTGCAGATCGAAGAGTCCTGAGCGTGGAGTTTTCCTCCATGTCGACAGCGACATACCTGCAGGGCAATCTTGCACATTTGTTCCGCAATCTCCCCGCCACCAGGAGATCCCATCCAGCACCTTGAGAGGCGATCGTTAGTGCCTTTCGGTGCATTTGAGACGCGGGACCGCGGGGTTGCTTGATCTGACTTACCCTATTCCTACCGAGGGAATTTTGTAACCTGTGTTGAGCGTGAAGGAGGGAATATTGGCAGCGGACATGGTCTGCGTTGGAAACTGAGAGGGCTACGGGTCGTAGTGACTGATAATCGGCAGAGTGCGAAAGGAACCGCACAATATCGACGGTGCTGCAATCGAGACCATGCCGTCTATATGTAAGCCCACTGCGGAAATCGATATCTGTGTGGTGACCTCACTTCAGGGGAGAGTCCTGAAGGTTCCTGAACCGCAATGAGAGCTGCGTATGCTCTCGCGGACCGCGTACCGTTGAACGTTCACTAGTTGCTCACCAGCTGACCGGACGCGGGCCGGCGGCACTGGGAATAGGAGACTCTTGTACTTGCCACCGTCGTATCCTGAGATTTGTGATCTGGATCGTCGATCCATACAAGGTCTGCGTTGATTGAAGACCTACGGTGTGTTGAACTAATCGCGGGAAGTACAGCGATGTGACATTCTCAATATGCGGATGAACTGATGCAGAGCCACAGGATTTCCAGCAAGCAGTAGCGCTAGTACAGCTACTAATATCTTGCATTTCAGGCATCGCGTTCAATTGGCGCATCAACATGAGCGCACAGACTGTGGGAGAGCACAATGAACTATGTAGCCATCCCGTACCCCCCCCCCCCGACTCAAGCCGGATATGCGAGGCTGAGTGTTGTGAGATATTCCATCTGAGCTGTGCGATACGTGTCTGGAAGAAGCTTGAGAGGCACAGGGCCCTCTTGAAACGTCAAAAGGCGTAGGCTCTCGTTCGTGTACAGAGGCCAGTGGAAAGCGCCATCGCCATTGGGATCCAATGTTGTTGCGAACCGGATCAGATAATCCGCCATGTCTCCGCCGCCATACACATTGGGTAGTTCTGATCCGTGAGGCTACGATATTTTGCAGCAATGAGGAGCGGCTGAACAAGTCACGGAAGAGGAGACTTACCGCGCCAACGCCTTTGATCCTGCCGCCCTTGTTTACTAAGTGCTCAAGCCAATCAAGACGCCTGCGCTTTGTCAATGCAGATGGATGGCTTACAGAACGCATATACGGGCTGCTTCTGAGACAGCTCTCTCGTAAACAAACGCCTCGGAGCCTGTTCAATCCAATCTCCTTGAAAGGCCGAGATGCGTTTGTACTGCGGTGAATAGGCGAAGGCGTCACCTGTGCCGAAGGGTGAACCAGCTGCAGGATCGGCAGGGTATAAGTCAAGGATTATAGCAATCGCCTCTCGGGAGGCTTTTGGAAAGAATACCGAGGACACGTAGTCGAAAAACTGGTCATCGGTTCTAGTATGTGTGAGAACCTTAGGAAACGAACTGCGGACGAGTAGGACCCAACGCACGTTACGTTCAAAGACGGAAAGGCAAATGCGCTTCCTTCGTCTTCATCATTGCCTGAAGTCCCGATGTGGTCAGAGCATGACAATCCTGCGGGTGGTATAGGAACTCGCCAACAAGTATGGGTATCCGGGCTACATCGCCCTTCAGAAGGAGATGCTGTGGAGGATCGGTCACAAACACTCCGTCCGCGTGAACGTTCCAAGGGGTATTCACTTGCTGTTCGTCGATTAGCTCTGTTTTCCGGGATACATGCTGTTGACTTAGATCTTACCACGTAGTCAACGAAAGACGGCGACTTATCCATGGCAGCCTTGAGTATGTCTGTAGGAACCATTCGGAGGCATTGCAGAGTATCATTTGCAAAGCCACAACCAGAGTCGGTCACGATCTGATCGTATGTGCCTTGGAGCTCTAAGATATCGCCGAAAGGGCCCGGCGAACCGGATTCGAGGAAGCCCGCACGAAACAGGCCTTCTGTGTTCCCGCCATTCGTCATCATATGCAAGGCGACCGAGATTGCACCGGCGCTCTCTCCCCAGCTAAGTCAGTCAATGAGAACGCCGCTTCCAATAGGGTACTACTAGGCCTTACATGGTGACTTTTGTGGGATCTCCTCCAAAAGCGGAGATATACCTCTGTACCCACCTCAGAGCCTCTCGCTCTGAGAAGTTATCATCCTGTGGGCCGGGTGTAGGTGAGAGAGAAACGAGCACTCACGATCCTGCAGGCCGAGATTCCCAACTTTGGCCTCTTTGACTTCCTTGCCGCCAAGGAACCCGAATGCTACATGGCAGTTTGAGAAGATTCCGGACAAATGGAGTACTTCCTACCACTCAAACTGTACGAAATAACCCTCTGAGAATAGGCCAGCTTGACGATAGGGATATGATTGCTCACCGATAATTCATCGCAACGTAGATAACGGGATGATCCAGTTGAATGGATCGCGCCACGACAACATCGCCCGGTTCCCTAGGAGCACAATATAGCCCATGTTCTGTTTCGTCGTTGAGGAAATATGACTCACACTGCGTTAGAACCATGTTGGAAGCCCCCTGGAAGCCATAAGACAGGATGCACACCGTAAGCATGCTTTGACACAGACCTACCTCCATATATCCACTGAAACAGGGAAGTTGGTGAGTTATCCGCGACGGTGATGGTATGGGACACCTCACAACTAGAACCGGCAATCTTGACTCCGGCGTCACGTTTGCAGGCGTAATGACATTCAGGTTGAGACCTGATCAACGTACGGATGAGCAGCACATCCCGATATCTGAGGATGGCTTACTCACAGTCTTCGCTCTGTGGGACTGCGGGTGTAGCAATGAACTCCTCGAGGTACTGTTGCGCGGCTTTGGGCACTTCTTTGGGGAACGGCTGGAGCACGAGAGTTTGTTGTATGCATTGATTCCCAGGTGTTGTAGCATTTATCACGCCGTCATATGACGTTGCGGATTTCGGGAGACGGAGTCTCAGATCTCCGATGCTGTGGGATTTGTGAGCATGAGGATGTACAGCTGGTGGAAATGATTCAAAGGAGGACTTACGGAGGCAACGCATAGGGGATGCCGAGATACTGAGTCACAACTCCGTCGGTGATCCCGATGACTGTAGCAAGGTCGAGGACGACGGAAGGTGGAGCCTCGGCAGGACGAGCGAGTACCGCCGCTACTGCCACAGTCATCAACATAACCGCGGACTGCATGAGATGAAGCATAGCTGCGCGGTCAAGTGCACGCTGAACTTGATCTCGAGGTGAGGCTTGGTGCTGTCCATCCCTATATATGAGATCTTGGCAGTTATGTAAACGGCTGGTGCAGCCTTGACCGGCCACGCATCACGGCCAGCACCCTTACTGGATCGTGCCATTTGACCGTGGCGACGAGCATGGACTGAGCGAATGTGGAGTTTCCTTTATTCTTGAGGGTCAGCCCCATGCTAAGCCCATATGCACTGTCCTGTGAGAAATGAAATTCGGTAGATAGGTGACATGTCTATCGCAAATTCTACCAGTGTGAAATTGTAAGTTGAATGAACGGCAGAAACTGCGACCATGGGGAGAATGCTTGCCATGAGATGGAGACAGTCTGAAAATCGCGCGTGGACTGGTAGTTGGGTGTAACCATTGCTCATGCCCTGGAGAAGTTGCAGAGGTGACGCGTGCCAGTGTGTGAAAGGCTGATTCCGACAGAGTTAGTTCGGCATAGGTGAGGAGGCGAGTTGCAAATCGGAT